TGATCAAATTGGATAGCTGCCTCTTTGCCTTCATGTCACGTAACATTGCTCCGTTGTGTCATGTGGCTCCCATGGATTCAGTGCACCATCATGCCGTGTTCATCTTTCCATCCCATGTTTGCACTTTGTTCCTGCACCAACTAACTCTGGGAATGAAAAACCTACTGTGCTGAGTTAACATTGCTGAGCAACTTCCTGGCTTGTTTTAGAATTTGATTTTTTGTCATAGAGTGCTTAATCACGTTAAGATACACTCTTAAAATACATAATTGTGGTGAGTCTGGCACAGCTCTCACCCAGGCTTATTGCTATATCTTAAATCTAGAGGTACGTTGGCACAAGTGAGACTCATCTCACTTAATGTGCTTGATATTCTCCTTAAAGGAGACAGTACTTTCACACCCAGCTAATGGTTGACTACATATATATAAAGCAGCAATATTTTTATTTATTGCCCTCAAACTCTCACATCAGATCTTTCTGTTGTTCTAATGTTTGTTTGGGAAGGTCAGTTTTGAGCTAGTGTATTTGTAAGATAGCATGTGTTTCTCACTTTAGATATTGCAGGAGAATATTTTGAAGTAAATGTTTGGAAAGAGTTTAACATTCTTTAAAAAGAATAATTAAAAAGTGAACTGGCTAAGCATCTCCTGATGTGTGTGTAATACAAACACTGACTGAGATTCTGTGCTCTGCTGGAGCATTGGTGTTTTGATGAAGCTTCTAATGCTGGTTACACTTCTCTGTAATTGAGTGGTTACTGATTGAAATCAGCTGGGGAAGTGAGAGTAGTGCTGGGACGTGTTTTGTGCAGCTTTATGAGCATCAAGGGGAAAAAACAACCATTGAAGTTCTGCTCAGCCATGTTTCTCTTTCTTTCTTATTTCTATTTTTGTTGCATGCAATGTATAAAGTGATGCATTTGTTTCGCTCAGTTATGTGTGAACTAATGTGGACAAACCAAACTATTATTGCAGTTCTGGTACAATCAGCACTCCAACCTTTTGTTTCAAATGATAACAGTCTATTGTTGAATTTTTGTAACCTTTCAAATAAGGCAGCTAGTCATAAAAGTAGCTGTTTGGCTGTCAAATTACTCCCTTCTAGGGATGTAAATAAAAACAGAAGCTGTATGTATATATTGTCTGTTGTTGACTTCTGAGTTTGTGCTAGGATTGGTAAAAGTGATGAGGTCAGACATGATGAAACACTGACTTCAGCTGAATTGCCTCAAAACCAAATTTGGATAGATGATGTTGGGAGGATGTATTCATCGAGGATAAAATAAAGCCAAGGCAATGTGAAAGTGCTGTTATTCCATATGTCAGTTTTTCATTGCAACGAATAAAATAATAGTTTGGTGTGTTGCATACTGTGTGAAGAAATATTGAGCTAAATCTAAAGAGAAAGGTTTAGTTGAATATGTTAGTTTGTTGATATTTCTAACAATTTTGATGTTTTTCCCCTTGTTCTAATGATGACCTTGGTGAACTCTGACCCCCTACTCCCAGGTCCCTCAGGTTAGCCCCTTAACTCCAAAATTATAACTTTGCATGAAGATGAAAGTATGTACTTTTTTGGTGTCTGAAAGTAGATATGCTGAGTCATTTTTCATACATACCTTTTAATTTGAGGGAGAAAAGAACTTAGGCTTCCAAAGCATAGGGTTTCATGTTGTTGTAGGACTGACTGACCCTGGAAGGACTGCTTTCCCTCTGCTGAAAGTTCACATGGGTCCAGACTTACAAGGCTTTTATAGTGTCCCAACATGAAATTTGCTTTAGTGTGCTTATTCCCAGAGGAGGTGAAAAAAATATATGCTACTTTTCCTCTTCGTATTAAAACAAACAAACCAAAAACCAGCATATTTTGCTGTCCTCCCCTACCTTTGCTGCATAATTGTTTTGTAGCTTGGACAAATGGCAGCATTCATTTCTGTAACACCTGCTGATGATTTTTGGATGCTCTGATGTGATTTTCGTAAGATGTTTCTTTTATACCATGAGCCTCCGTAGGAGCACATGCAATTACACAGTTACATAAATGTTTTATGTTCCCAGCATAGTTTCCATAGTTTCCATTTCCATTGCTTCGTTTCATCAGCACGTGTTTGGAGGAAAGGAGGAAAACTCTTCCTTTAAACTGAACTGAAGCACACTGGCTTATCTTTCTTACCACTAGAGAGGAGGAGCAGGACTGGTAACTTTCACAAGCTTTTCTCAATTCTAATGATCAGCTCATAGCACAGGACAGCTTCTGGGGAGACTTCACCTGTTGTGCCTAGATTGAAAATGACTTGGTATATCTACTTAATAATAATGCAGCCTTTAAGTTTTGCTATGATGACTTCTATGAAGCAAAGAACTGTCATCAGAATTCAAGAAGAGAAGTCTTTAGTGCGCTGTGCTAAGCACTGTGGGGGTAGCAAATGCGGTAGCCCCCAGTGCTTGAAAACTGAAATATATATCTAGCCTTATGCAGTCATGGAAATAAAGAATACAATATATGAATGTGGCTTTGCCTTTTAACTAAAACGTGGTTGCACAAACAGTAACCACAGAGTCAAAGGGAATTAGCATCATGGCTATGCTGAGAGGAACTTACCAATTCCTTCGTATTTTGTTCCACCCTGACACTGCCCAGAAAGCATTCAATAATCAATAAATAAAAGAAAGATTTAGAAATCATAGCAAAACTTATTTAATAGTGAAAGTTTGAGTACTTAACAGCAACAATGAAATGTCCATGTCGTTATTTTTAACAGCTGTATTACAACTAGTATTTAAAATGATTTACCAAATATGTAAGAAATAGTACACCAAGGTAAACCTGATATGTATTTATTGTAGTTTTTAGCTGCAAATTGCATGGTTATACATAGATGTACTTAAATCATTTCACTGACATGAAAGATGCAAGCAGCACAGGAGCTGCAGTACGTATTAATTCAGGAGGAAGACCAGCTTACCTTTAAAAAAAAAAAGAAAAGTATATTGAAGTGATTTTCCTAAGGATGTCATTTTCCTTAATAACTTCTAACAGGCAAATTAGTATCTGGGGATACATTTATTAAGAAAAATCAGTGCTAACAAATTCTGATTTTCTAAGATTTTGCTTTTTGCTTTTGTATTTTTGCTTATAGCACTTCCAACCCTTTTAATCCATGTCAGTTCTGGTTACTATTCTGGGCTACTTTTCAGCCCTAGGATTTTGCTCACAGATAACATAAGCTGTCATTCTCTGTGTACCTCTGTATTTGCCAAGCTCCAGGCCCTGTGAGTGATGAATATTGTCAGTGAAATGCCTTCATAGTGTAAACTGCATTGTGAGTAGGACTAACCAGGCACAGGCCTCAGCTGTAGTGTTAAAGCAGTAACACATTTAGTAAAGCTTTTAAGTTTGTCATTAAATGAAGAGTGTCAAATCAGTCCTAGTGAGCCAAGTCACCAGAATAGCTTGTATCTGAAAATACATATTGTGAACTCATGTATGGTCTTATGCATGCATGTGGATTATATTCTAAATACAAAATATGCTGGTGAAATGGGTTGATGTGTAGTGTATATGCTGTCATCTGTACTATTTCTAACTAGTAATCTTGTTTTGTACTGTGTGATGTCTGACCCTTCTAACATCGATCATTGGGCTTTGGTGAACTCTGATCCTTCCAGGTCCTCCAGGTTAGACTCTTAACTCAGTCACTTTATTTTACTGCATTGCATTTGATATAAAAGAAGGGATGTTTTCCTGTGATTCTGTAATTATCTTTTTAAGGACGGTGGTTACCCTGCAAGTTGTGTGCTTTTGTTCAGCATGTCTCACGGTAGATGGTAGCCTGTTGTTTTGCATGTGTACAATACTGTACCAGTGAAAAAGAACAAAATGAACACAAAAGCCTCTTGATGTTTTCTGTAGCTGAAACTGCAATGGGATGTGTGTGAAATACAGTCCAAAACTGTTCCTACTTTAAACATTTGAAGTCTTCACTCAGATTTGCATGCCGTGTTACAGCTTATCAAGTTTATCTGCTAATATAGACAATGAGGATTTCAAAGGGCATTCTCAGAGGATTCAGGAGAATTGAAAATCCAGCACACTGCTACGTGTTATTAATTTGTTGCACCACAGGGGAGAATGTCATAGCACTGTCCTGCAAAGAGATCCTGTTGTTAATCCAATTAGGAGATCTAACATGTGAACTGCTTTTAGCTGTTGCTGTGTTTGCTTACAGTTTGCTTTGCTATAAGTTGCCTTCTATTTAGATGATAAAGGTGCACGGTCTGATTTTCCAGTGCTCAGAACAGCTGGGCTTCGTTTAAACCCACTGTTCTCTTTTGGTTTAATGTGGCTGGTGCAAAGAAAATATTTAAAGATTGGCTCAGTTCCTCTGTTAAATTTACATAGCATAATTCTACTAAAGACAGACAAACCAGCTGGAGGGTCACTGAATATAAAGTGCCTGCAACTCTAACTAGTATTTAGAGAAGACAGAATGAGGGGCTTCCTCTTGCTGAGCAGTCATTAAATGGAAGATACCAGGCTCCTCTGTAGGTATTGGAAACAGCAAAAAAGCAGCAATATTTTTGTGTTAGTGTCTGTTAACGTAGCACTTAAGAGATGGTGAGTGCAAATGCAGGACAGCAGAGGGTATATTTGTACCATCTAATTTGGGTTTTCTTGGCTCCTGCTGGAAGGTCGCTGTCTGGTCACTGGTAAGTTCCTATCACAGGTGGTTTGCACTGCTGCCTAGAAAGACCTGCTTCTCTTCATCAGCTGGATGAGGAGCCTTGGTTCCTGATTTGGGTAGTACAAATAACCCCTCTTTGTTTTCTCTTTAGTTAGGGTGTTTTATTTTGTTGTTACACTGAAGGCACGGTCTTGTGGGGAACAGTTGACATGTACTGATACGTTTGTATTTGTTCCACAATGTTAAGGTTCACCAGGCCCAGAAGGTCCACGAGGGCCACCAGGCAGTGGGGGACTCAAAGGGGAAAAAGGGAATCCAGGACAGCCTGGCCCACCTGGCCTGACTGGTCAAAAGGGAGACCAAGGACCACCTGGACGCCAGGTAGGACAAGAATTGGATTTATTTTTAAATGCAATAAAGACTGAACTTGTTTAAGTTAAATATGCCTTTTATTGTAGTAAAATAAAAACCAAAATACAGTGGTTATTATAATGTCTCATAGCAAGATTGAGGGTCTTTTCTTTATCCCCCAGTACCCAGGCAGGTTTTCCCCATTACATTGCCATGGGAGCTGGAATTGCCAATGAAGGGTTCACATTCCAATGTTCTCTGACAGCACCTGCTGTACCAGGGAGTGAGCAAGCAGAACACAAAGCCTCAGCCTTCTCAAGCACTACTTCACAGATTCCAAATGTACTAATTTGTCGTCTAGCCCGTTTTTATCTTCTTTTCTGAAACCACTGGGGAGATGAGTGACTAACATGAATCTGTTGTCTTCAGGGAGATCCTGGTCGTCCTGGTCTCAATGGAATGAAGGGTGACCCTGGGGTTCCAGGCGTTCCGGGATTCCCAGGTATTTAACAAGCATTTCAAGTGAAAACATCCAGACACAGTAGCAGCTCCTCAGGGAGGAAAGAAGCCTGATTTGGGCCACTGCAGCAGATCTTACAAAACGTGTTCTTTCATTGTGTGACCATGTTAATTTGATCTTTCAGGTATGAAGGGTCCCACTGGACCTGCAGGACCTGCTGGCCTCATGGGCAGTCAAGGGCTGCCAGGCCCACCAGGTAGGAGTCTTGGGTAGCACTACTGTCACTTTGATCCCTGGTGGTAGAATGTGTTATGCAGCTGTAGAACTGTGTGGATGTCAGCCAGAAATGGAAATGGTTAAGAGAGCATCTGTACTCCTGCTGTATTTTGTACTCTATAACCAGTCTACTTGGATTAACTTCTGCAAGAGCTGTCCTTCAAGATGTCACCAAGAGCACTTGTTTTGCCCTTTATATACACCTACTCTTATTCTTTGTAGTTATAAAAGCTTTCGGTTGCTGACTTCGCAATAAGTAACAGAAATAGTGCACTGCCAAAACTGTCTTCAGTGCTCTCTTCCATCCTGGTTTATCTAATACTGAGCTGTTTTCTCTCAGGTCCACCAGGTTTACCAGGTACCATCGGACGAAGCATTGTTGTCAAAGGTGACCCTGGTCCTCCAGGGCCTCCAGGATTGCCTGGGTCAAAAGGGCCACCTGGACTGGCAGGGCCACAAGGATTGCCAGGTATGATTCTAGATTGTTGCATGGAAAATGACTAAGTATAGCTGACTGCATGTTGCAATGTGGGACTGAATTCAGCAAGAAATAAAGAAAAACGTGGGATTGTACCCAGATGTATACCATCTGGTTTAGTGACCTGTTCTTGCCTAATGTATTGTGGAGAAACATCAGATGACCCCAGAGAGTGTATACCTTTCTGTAGTGAGGTTTCAAGAGCTTTCAGTTCAATTACCTGCTTGTCTGTTCTAGGTCCAGTTGGTGTTCCTGGTGATCCAGGGCGAGATGGACTCCCTGGTTTCGATGGCCCAGCAGGACGTAAAGGAGAGAGGGGTCTTCCAGGCCAACCAGGTACAGTGTTCATCCCATGAGCACCCACTGGAAAAGGAGATTCTCCCTACTGAGTTCCAGCTAACAGTGGGAAGAGACATTTGCCTTGCGAGAATAATAAAATCATAATTTTAGGATTTTCTTAGGGCTGCTGAACATGCTTTAGTTTGGAATATTCTAGGGATCAGCACAATTATTAGTCATTGCTGAATAATACTGTAGAACATTTTATCTCGAGATGAATGGCATCCCCTTTGGAGCAATGATGAGGCACAACAAGAAGGAAAGAAAGTAAGAAACAGAATTGAGAGATTAGTGAAATGATTTTCTCTTTACATGAAGAATCACAAATGAGGAAAAGCAGACTTCATAAAGGAAATAATATGCAGAGGTCAAGCTACCGTGAAGTTATTGCTTAGAATTACTGATCTGAGAAAACAGACTACGCACTGAACAGTTTAATCTAAAGCAGAAGACAAACATTAGCTTTATGTTGCAGCCTTGTGAGTAAAAACTACTAGAATTCAGTTTAAAAACAGTACAAAAATCCACAGTGCCATTTTTGTTTTTCATTTAAGTAGCCTTGTGAAATCTGTTGGCGTTATTTTAAGTGAAAAAAAAAATGTAAACAGTAGTCTAAATATTTGTAGTTATACTTTCTGATATTTTGCTGTTCGATAACAAATGCCTTTTCTGCTACTTCTCTCAGAGTAATGTCACTTTCCTCGCTCTCATGCAAAGATGTTTCAGCCTATTTGCACTTTGTCATCTACTCCAAAACTGACTGGTTTCTCTATTCATTTTGGGTTTTAGCTGAAGTTGTTAGAACATGCCCTAGAGTGAGAGATGTTCTTCTGTTCCTGGCTCTGTCATTTATTTTGTGATCTTGAACAAGATGTTTCAGCTTTATCTTACCAAACTGCATAGGCAGATAAGTATGTTTTGGGATTAGGAAGCTGATTTGTACTTAAAATAGCTGTGATAGCCACTGCATTTGCTAAGCTATTGCTTCACAGCTCCAAACATATTTAAATTCAGAATACTCCTATGATGCAGGGAAATTGCACTATTTTAATTTGTTCATGATTTGACCAAGCTTAGAAGAAAAAAATAGTTTAAGGTAATTTAAGGAAGATGGTGTTAGCAGATTTCAGGTTCCTCAGCTAGCAAGCTCCTCACTCACTACATCATCCTCCCTTTCAGAGATATGTTATTCCTAAACGAGCAAGAAATTGTGTTAATAAATACTGTGTTGTTTCCTCTCATGTGAATAGGTTCACGAGGAATACAGGGACCCCCTGGTCCTGATGGCTTACAAGGCCCACCTGGGCCTCCTGGAACAGCTTCTGTTGCTCATGGATTCCTTATAACTCGTCACAGCCAGACTAGGGATACACCACTATGTCCACAAGGAACTTCAAGAATATATGATGGATTCTCTCTTTTGTATGTGCAAGGAAATGAGAGAGCACATGGCCAGGACTTGGGTGAGATATTTTGTATGCTTTGTCTTTAAGGGAAAAGATGTTGTACATACTTCTACCAGATGCTCAGTTTTAATGAAGACAAGACTATCCTGGAGTTTACCTAGATGAGGATGAGGGATGCATGCTAAGATCTACTACATCCAGAAGCTGCACTTAGTAATTCAAGATGAAAGACTGTAAACCAAAATTGAGAGTTAAGTTTTTCCCTCATGTGAAAATTTGATAACACGTGCTGAATACTCAATTATCCTTCTCAAAAAAACTGCTACAAACAATGAAGTGAGAACTCGGCTGTCACATTTTATGTATCTTATTCTGTAGGTACTGCTGGGAGCTGTCTTAGACGCTTTAGCACCATGCCTTTCATGTTCTGCAACATCAACAACGTTTGTAATTTTGCATCAAGGAACGACTATTCCTACTGGCTGTCAACTCCAGAGCCAATGCCGATGAGCATGGAGCCGCTGACTGGGCAGAACATCCAGCCATTCATTAGCAGGTGAGTCAAAGAAGGCTATCAAGTCTCTTTTTTTAGTATCTGGATGAAGAAACAGTACATCTCACTACATACAGTCCAACATGTAGGTTGGAAATAAGACTGACCTTGTCATGTTTTGCTCTGGGAAATACAAGGAAAAGAGCTGGTTTTAAAGTTTCTATTGTCTGAAAAGGCCCATCTATACGTGCAGCAGAAATCCTTAGAGGCTGAAAGGCTGTAAGGGCTTTTCTCACCTGAGAAGCATGAGTGCAGGGTTACTGTGAATAGGAAAAAACAGAGGAGCCTGTAGCGCTAGGATTAAGGCATTCACCTGGGGGACTTGGAGCTTCCACTTCTTGTTTCAGGAACTGTATTTTACCCAGTGGTTGTTAGCAGAAAAGGGCAGTTTGTACTCAGAACACTGTCCTACTGCACTCACAAGATACACGAGAAGTCTAAATTAATAGGATAGACCCTCACAAGCAAGGACTCCCTTTCTTTGTGTAATAACCCTTAACAAGTGACATTAAGTTGTATGTTTTATTTGTCTGATACTTCCCCTGAGTCCAGATGCGTTGTGTGTGAAGCTCCTGCTATGGTGATAGCTGTCCACAGTCAGACCATTCAGATTCCTTCGTGTCCTCCAGGCTGGGACTCCCTATGGATCGGTTACTCTTTCATGATGGTAAGAACTTCCTCCTATTCCAGAAGTGACTATTACCTGTTTGTGTCCTCAAGTAGCTGCTTTAACACTGTTAAAAACTACAGTGGTAGTCATTAGAAAGCCTTTATCTTAAGTTAATAACCATAGCAGTCAAGATTAACAACAATTTTCCAGTACATAGAGAGAATGGTAACACTCTGCAAGTCCTGCCTTTCTAAGGATAGTTACAGAGGTGTCTGACATCACATTATCTCAATATTAGCCAAACAGTGCTGCTTTTAGCAATTGCATCCTGTGCTATTAATTTCTATTTCCTACTCTAAGTTTTTTGTGTGTGTTTCTTTCCTGCCCACTACCCCAGCACACCAGTGCTGGAGCAGAGGGCTCTGGGCAGGCCTTGGCATCACCTGGATCCTGTTTGGAAGAATTCCGCTCAGCTCCATTTATTGAGTGTCATGGTCGTGGCACTTGTAACTACTATGCCAATTCATATAGTTTCTGGCTGGCAACTGTAGAGGTGTCAGAAATGTTCAGGTAAGAAAACCTGTTTTTATTACATTGTTTTATTCCAGGGTGAAATATTTGGAAGCCAAATTTATTCCCAAGATCAAAAGAGAAGTCTTTACAGGGAAGTAGGAAAGAGTTTAGTTTGTTTTCCCCCTCACAACCAGTTTTTCAAGTGTGTGCTTGGGTAAGCCTTTTATAAGATGTATAAACTTGTGAGGGCACATTCTGTTTTGCAAGAAGTCAGATTCCTTTTACATCAACTCTTATTCACGTTTAGTAGTACTTTCTCTGAATGTTGTCCTATTGTACTGACTGTAGTTGGACTTTTAAAAGGTTTGTTTTGGTTTTTTTTTTTCCTTGCATGCTCTTAATTACTCAAATATTTTAAAAGGCGAACAGGTGTGAGGGGAAACTGGACAAAATCTGCATTGTCTCATTCTCAGCCCTAGTGCAGGATCAACTGTACTTAAACCTTCTAAAGCAGGTGTTCATATAATCTGTTTTTAAAGCCTGGTGTGAAGGAGGTTTCACACCCTCCCTGGTGAGCATTTTTACCAGTACTCTGCAGGAGGATTAGGACACTAGCTTCTCTGCCTTAAGGATTTCAGCTCTCCAGGGTTCCCCCTTTCTAATTGACCGGCAGAAACAAATGCTGTCGCCCTGTTTTTGCACTGGTGAAAACCTCATGAATATTCCCACTGCCACCAACCTGAAAAATTTGGCCTTGTTGTACAGGGCTGGCAGTGTGCAGTGTGACATAGCAGCAATAGCCTCTAATTGGGTTTTGTGTAACAACTACACTGTAATATTTAATTGCACGCGAAGTAATCATCTCCAAGTTTTCAGGATAGTTGATTAGTGATAATTCATGGTGAAAACTACCTTCTGCTAACGACTGTGGGTCTTTGAACTTTCTCTCTCTACCATTTGCCATCTCCCATAAACACAACTTACTTTATTTAAAAAAAAAATCAAGGATAGCACTTAACATGCAAACACACATTACACAGAAATGTTGTATTACCACCTCTCATTTCATTTCCTTACAGAATAGAAGCAAATTATTTGGTAAACGCATAATTTAAATGTACAGATCTCCCTCTAACACTGTTTCTGATGGATTGTTGTAATACCTTTTAACTGAGAAACCAAAAATCACAAGTGCCTGCTTCATGGCAGGGGGAATGTACGCTGTGGACCCAAGACTGTCCATGATGTACATGTATATCATTCAGTCCTGTATATGATGTAGCACAAACAGTAAGCTGAGCAGAAGCAGGGGCTGAGCATATGTTTTGCTTAGTGGGGACTGGACAAAACTGAAGTTCTGTTACCTGCTGTGGATATACAAAACAATCGCTCATAGTAGAAACTCTGAAATACAGGATTAATTCCTCTTTCTGTTTTACTTCCAAATCTGGAATTAAGCAGAAGTCTTAAGTTACAGTTCTGTGAACAACAAAGAAGCTAACCCTAGCCTTCCTGTTTTGTCTGTCAACCAGTAAACCTCAGTCAGAGACACTGAAAGCTGGAGACTTGAGGACGCGTATTAGTCGCTGCCAAGTTTGCATGAAGAAGACGTAACGTCTTGAAGGATGTTTTAAAACAGTTGAAAATTCCTGAGATGCACTGTCCTCCAGCTGTAACAATGGTGCTACTGTGCAGAAAGAAAGCAAAAAACAAATCCAAACTGTTTTAACCATGCAAATTCAAGTGTACCTCACTCGTGCCAAGCTAAGGGTTGTTTGGTGCATATTTGACAACAGGACTAAGATGAGATGGAAGAATTGACCTCCTGGAAATGGTAAAGACCCTTGTGGTTCACAAAGGATCCGAAGATGAAATTTTCATTTCTCTCCCTGTACCAAAATGGCACCTTTTTGATCAGTCAAGAGAGTAAAGAAAAACACGACGCACTGAGTACGTTTAAAGTAACAAGACTGCAGTTTTGAAAAACATTTTTCATGGTGCTACTAACCCTACTGTATCCCAGGTTTTTAATATGGAATTTTAAGTTTATTTCTCTGTAAGTAATGAAATGTGTATATTGTGTAAACACCTTTTTAGCTGAAACTTTCAGTCATTTAGAAACAAACCAGACTCGGATATAAAAATGCTTATGTCTGAAATTAAAATATACAGCAGTATTTTATCACAAAATTTGCGGTACAGAGAGAATTTACAACTCTTACACCAATTCATTCATTTGATATTTCATTTCCTTAGTTGCCAACCTGTCATAGATGGGGAAATGCACAATTATTCTGAAGTCATTTTGATCAGGGTTTTAAATGTTGATACCATATATCATGCTACCAGTGGTTTTATTTGTGTTTAGAGATCCCAATCCACTTGAAGAGTTTGTTGGTTTATTTTTTATCTTGTGAAGATATATGAAATGATCAGCCATATGCCTATATCCTTCTATTCTGAATAGAAGTCACATTCACATATTAGTAATATTTGGTATAGTTCAAAAAAGCTGCTCCTTGGGAATATCCAGTTATCAAAGCATTTAAGAGTATGCTTACGTGAAACCTCTTTACTCTGAAGTGAAGTTACGCATATTATCCAAAATAAATAGCGTACATGCTAAGGAACACTAAAATAAAGTGTAAACTGGTGGAAACTGAGCTTATCCTATTTACCATTTAATCTTTGTGATCTTATGTGAATTTATAAGCATCCACAATGTATTTACAATATATAGCAACTCCTGTGTATGTACATTCACATAAGGCCTTTAAAGATGGTGCATGCAGTTCCTTCTTTCTAATGTCATTTTGTGAGAATCCTACTGTGTGTGTCTTGGTGTGTCACTGTGCAATAGCTGAAAAGTGATCACTTTCTGTATGCATAACTGCCCATGATTGTTCTGCCTTTATGGTCAGTGCTGCTCCACTCACACTCATGTGCACACAGAGCTCCCTGGCCAAAGCAAGGCTGTTTTTCAGAACGATGATACTTTAACCCTTTCATTGTATATTGTCACCTCCACTATCTATCAATACAACATAACTTGTGAATCAACATAGAGCTTTATACAGGTGAAGTGTATTTGTTTATTTTGACCACTGTTAATAATTTATCTGCTAATTGCTGTTCACCCTTTCCTTTCAGTTGTCCTTGTAACTGTGGAACATCAGAGATCTTGTTTTAAGCATATTTGACAAAGACATAGGACTGGTGGTTAACCCAGGTGGCAGTGCTTTATTCAATGAGATTGGTGCTGATTTCAAAAGTTTTCAGGTATGAAACAGGTTATTTAGTTTAAAGTGAAAAACACAAATAGCTTTATCCTTTTTCCATTAGTGCAATTATATGTTGGTAGTGAGTGGCCTATTCAGCAATGTACATCCTTCAACCCATTTTATTTTGATTTGCTGATGCATATAAACAGAACCTGCTGCTACCTCCAAGTCAGTAACTTGTTACCAAAGCTAAAATAAAAACTTACGTCTCTTTTACTGTAAGCCCATATCTTGCTACCTGCTCCTCCCTCAGCAGCCTAAAATGAACACAGGAGCTTATTCCTAGCCCCAGAAAGCAGAATAGAGGCTACAGTCAAGGAGCACCCAGGGTAAAGAGCTCATCCAGCCCTCACTTGGGTCTGTACCAACTCCACTTGTCTTGCCTCCCTGTCACCAAGAAGTTGTGTTCATTATGGGGATCCAGGAAAGGGCAGAACGTGTTTGTTCTTAGTACTGCATCAGTGGTGCTTTTTCTAAGATTGGGCCTCTTTTGCAGCATGCACAGCAAAACTCACTGAACAGTGACAAGACAGGAGTTATAATTCCAGTCTAACATAGATAGCACGCAGAGCAGCTTGTTTTGTGGCAGCAAAGTAGTTCCCAAACCTGTGGAATGACCACAGAAAAGCAGAAACGCTTCTGACAGGTATGTTCTCATTAACTTTGTTTTGGCTTTTTTTCTTGGTTAAAAGTAGGATAGAGAGGAAGGAGCATCTTTTAACTGAGACACACAGTAGACATTAAAATGATACTGCACCTTAGAGCAGGCAAACCACTTGACCTGTATTAGATCTGAGTTCCTCTTCTATAAAAGCAAGCACCGTTATTATTTTCTCCCACTTCCTGACTGCTTAGACTGTAAGCTCTTTGGGGCAGAGACATGTCTGTGCAACACTGGGGGGGGCGTCAAATGTTGACTGGGGCCTCTAGGTGCTATCCATCAGTATATAATATTAAACTACAGGAAAAACCTTGTCTGCAGATGTATTATTATTATTGTAAGTGAAAAAAACAACCCTGTTTTGAACATGTACCGTTTTCAGCCTAAGCATGATCTGGATCAGCCTCTCCTACACTCAGGCTTTTTTTTCCTAGGGTTTGACTTGTTTTTAACTGAAGTTTTAATTTCCCTGGCTAATTATGTTAATCTTAAGCAGGAACCTGGAAATAACACAGCTGCATTTATGAGCTGTATGGGGGAAAAGACGAGCACTGTAGCCACTCGAGGGCACCATACAGCTTTGAAAGAAAGCTCAAGTAGAAAGAGGACCGAATTCCTGGAAGTGCCTGCATCAGCAAGGACTTACATTAAAGTTTGCTGGAAGGGGGATTGCATCAACCCTCACTGCCCAGTTTTTTGAATGCTGCTTGCAGCATGGAAATCAAGAACAGGTGCTGTCAGTTGTTAGTTAATCTTCCAAATGAATACTAGTTTGCAAATCTTAAAAACAGTAATCTTCCACATAACTTGCATTTATACTGGTCCTTCCTCTAGTAGTAAAAAATGAAATAGTGCTTAACACCACAGGTTATTCAGTAGCTTCCTTTGCTCTATAGTAATACCTTTTACAACCCAGGACTGAAAGGGAACTGCTTCCTGCAGCCTCAAATTCACATGTAATACAGGATTAAAATTTCTGAAATGGTTCTCCAGTCACAGTACAACCTATAAACAAAGGTGGGCACACAGAAAAGCATAAAACATTTGAAATACAGTGAACTAGACTACTGCATGTAAATGTTGAGCTTTAAAAGCTTTTAAGCATGCAGTATCTTTTCCTGTGCCATAGAGGCCAGTCCCCCAATAGCTATGGATTTCTCACCTCAAAGGACAGAGGAAGGACCAGTTTTATAAACTTTAGAACCTGAAAGTGACTTTACTGATCTTGCAAGCAACCAAAGCCCAAGTTCCAAAGTATTATTTTGCCATCTAGATTCTGTGCATTGTAGTGTACACTTTGTGTATTTTGGGGACTTTGCTGATGGTACAGAAGTGCCACTGAAGGGGCAGCAGGGGAGTTGTTTTCCAAGCGTGAGGAGTATTCTGCTATATAGACATTTGTAACTGCTTCTTCTCAGAGAAGTCACCCTTTAGACAGTTCAGCGGTGTGGTCAGACACAGGATGTTTCTGCTGCTGTGGCTACTTCCACTGGGCTTTGTGCAAGACACAGCAATAACTTCCTCCTCCCAGGAGGCTATTGACAAAAAGCAGGACACGTGCCAGCACCAGGCAGGAGCAGTAATTAGCTCGGGGAGCAGTAGCAGTGTGCTACATTTTAAAGCACAGGATAAGTATCTTGAATTCTTTGCTTTAGAAGGAAAGATTATTAGCTCAATCCATCTGCAGCAGACTGGTGACCAATGCCTAACAGCCCCAACTGGCAACCAAGTCAGGAGTAACTGGTTATTACAGCAACAAACTGCTGGCTCCACTGGAGGTGCTCACTACAGCTGAGGGGTGGAGTGCACAACAGCAGCTGCTGCTCCAGTGCCAGCAAGTAGCTTGTGTGCCCACTGAGCTCAACTTTCCTGATCAGTCTCCTGTAACTTGAAACTCTTCTTTAAAAGGAAATAAAAATAATCTTAAAATAATTCAATTGAAAATCAGTTAACTCTGAGTCAGAAAGAAAAGCGAAGAAACAAAGCAACTGCCTTATTTTGGTGTGTTCCTCTAACAAAAGAGGGGGGAAAATGTTCTTACCTCCCATGCATACACAGCAAACTCAGTGCTCCCCTCTGTAGTGTTCCTTCATGACCCTTCAAGAAAAAAAAAAATCAGAGAAATTGTAATGTAAACTAAAATGTATGTTTGAGGGAATGCTATTGCAGCAGTCAACAGAGGGTGCAGGGACAAAAAGGAATACAAATGATATTACCTGATAACTCTCAAATGGTTCTTCTTCCCCTTGATGAACTCCTCGTTCCCAGATATTTGATACTTCCAGTACCACACTGCACAATGAGATGCAAGGCCCACGAGCACTGCTGAATGTATTTCAAAACAAAGACTTCTGTAACATGTGTTCCAGCATTGCCTTCAGATAGGAAGTCCTACCGCTTTCTGGAATCAATGGAGGGCTTTCATCATGCTCTAGAAGTTGTGAGTTCTGTCAATGCTTCATCTAAAGAAGTTTGAAAAAACAGCCTAAAACGCTGTGCCTGAGCCCCAACACCCTTCCAAAAAAAACAAAACAAAACACACCAATAAAACACAACAACAAAAAACCCTCAAGCACAGCTCATTTCAGGTCCAGTGAGACTTCCAGTCAGAGGTCTCAAAGCAGTTAATGTGAGGCTGTTGCAACAGTCCTGACAGCGTTTGGATGATGTTCGCTGTTGTCTGCTGGTAGGGCTGTTTTTGTTTTTCTTCCCAATAGAAGCTACAAGCTATAAAATGAGGCCCTAAGTAAGGGGGGCCATTTCGTTGGAGAAAATTCTATTCTTCAAGCAAACTGGACTTCTACCAAATTGTTTTAATGCAGTGTTCTGAATAACAGAGTTAAATTAGGTGTTTTTAAAGAAAGAAAAAAGACATTTCAAAGCAGCCACCCACATTTATGGAGAGCAGGCATGCTCACGACTATGGCTGTAAGTTATTTCTAGGCAGAATTAACACATCATTCACATCAGTAAGTGTGAAATGGCGCTACAGCTTGTTGGGATTTCCTGCTTAAGCTCCGTTGTTTCTACAAGTGGGTCTGTTACCTGAAAATTGAGACATCTACGTAGGTTTTGTTTTTATATATTTGTTTTTATATACTGGGACCTAAACACATCTCAAAGCCATACAAGGACCCTTTTACCCTACGGTCAGAGCCACCTATTTGATGCTCTGCTAGAAGTTCCTTCCCAGGCTACAGTGTGCTGACAATGGAACTTCCATGCCCAGTCCTAAACGAAGTTCTGAACAAAACCTGGCATATTACTCTGCACTTAAAGGAGGAAACATCACGCACCCCTTCCCTCCCCGCTCCATACACACACACCACACAGGCACCATTCAGAAGCTCCACTGTTCACCAGCACAGCAACTCTGACAGGGAAAGCTCCTTGGCGTTGTGCTGCGTGATACCTTCTACACCAAGCAGCAAAGCAAATTGGAAAGGCTGAGAACCGCTGCCCTGAAATACACTACAAGCTCCTTCAGATCTTCAGGAAGGAAGAGTGACAACGTGCTCTGTAAGGAAAGCAGCGGCAGGAAATGCATTTTCGACGGAAGAAAACAGAAGTCTGTTTAAAAATAAAACCCAGACACGGAGCTACATGAACACGTATTTACTGCAAGTAGCTCTATGGAAAGCCAAGTCAGATAAATATAAACACTATACAGAGCTTCAAGCCAGTCTCCCAGAACCGCAGATGCGATGTGTTTTACAAAGAAAACAACATAACAATATTTACAATGGAAGACAAAGCCAGATCAATCAGCTCAACTTTAAAACAGATCTGTGAAGCAGAAATAGCAAATATAATGAACAGTTTCAACCATATATGTTTTAGTTTGTACAGACGATAACTGTCCAGTATCAAATTAAATTTACAGGACAAACATTGTTCCATCATTGGTATTTTGTACTATACAGCAGCATAAACGGGTAGCTGGAAGGTAGTATATATAGTGATATGTTTTACATATTCTGAAAATGTTCTTCCAGCACAATACTGAATAAATTAGTTGCTGTAAACTAAGAGATTCAAAAAGATTGCATATTTATTATGCCGTACCTGTTAGTATTTGTACCACTCTAGTTGAGGTTACCCATTTAATTATTTATTCAGCATTTATTAAATCAGTGCTGTATATTGTACAGTGGCAGCCTCAGGGATCTAATATGAAATAGGTATGTACGTTTTTCTTCAAAACAACCTTTTCCTTTTGCGTTAAAGGTTTAGAACTATCTCTTCATCCAAATTATGGTTTCTTAAAAAAGATGAAAAGCTTTATAAAAAGCCGTCTACGTATTGCATTATTAATTTACAAGACCAAACAAAAGCTATATGGCAAGACAGTATCATGGTCTAGAAAAGTGGTCATATTTTTCATTAGTGTATGTTTAGCAGCAACAAAGATCCGTACCGACTTAAACTTCTCTTCCAGAATCGCAATCTGTGCTTTTAAACCCTGTACAACAGTTCTTCCAGTCACCGGACGTTGCGTCAACTGATGGGTACCAGCCTCCCAAAAAGTCGTCTCCAAAACCTGACGTGTACAGTTCAATCCTACTCAAAAACAGATTTGGGTGCACACCACCGAGCAAAAGTGACGGTGCCTGATGGCTTCTACAAACCGTACCGCTATTGTAAAGGTTGTGTGTTAGAGCGAGGCAGCCCGACTGGTTGTTGTACAATATACAAGGAGAGGAGTACAGCTGTGTGGTGCAGTACAGCATGAGGATTTATGTACCACTTCTAAACCCTTTTCCAATGGTCAGTGCCTTTCATTATACATGGCATGTACCAACAACTAGTGTCATGCTCTTTACGTTTATAGCAGTGTTAAAAGCCTAAACTCATTTCAACCAAAAAAAATTATATATATATATATATATTTATCAGTACTAGAGTGAAGCACTTAAGCCCTGATTTTTCTGCAATTTATTTTAGAAAGTGTCAAATAATCACTGTTTGCACTCCTATAACTGGGGTAAGGACAACTGAAGAGCCAATATTTTACTTCTTCCCATTATGCCACAAAGAAAGAACAAAAACAGTCCCAAATTAAAGACGGGACTTTGGCTGAAAGTAAGATCAATTAGGGTGGTTTTTCTTTAAGAAGCTACAGCTGACAAATGTAACGCAGAAGTCACAAACGCTGGATATGACTCTGCACTCCTCCATTTGAATGCATGAACAAAACCTCATTTTACACAATTCATGTTTATAAACAAGTATCATGAGGGTAAGAACAAAAACAACCTACGAGACAACCAGCCCATTAATCCTACTTTGTACATACCAAAATTCTGAGCAAAAAAGTCAGCTTAAGCCGTGACAGACATTTGATTTAAAGTACTCTAGCCTATGATCAAGAAGTCTCTCGTACCATGAAAGCAAAACAAAACAAAAGGCAGAAGAGGTCTCTCCTTTCCAGACCGGTTCAGCCCTGCAGGTTCTCCCTCAACCTCTCCCTCCTCCTCCCGCCCACCCGAAGAAAGCTCCGAACTGCCCGAATTCCACTAACAGCATGTTTTAAGCTGACCACTTGTTAATGTACCAGAGAAGCAAAACCCACGGTAAGCAGACATCAGAAACCAGCTTTGACATCTCAGAATATAAATAAAAACAAATTAATGGGAGAGGCAGGAGGAAGAGAAGGGTGTGTAAGGAACTCCCATTAGCACTCGTGCTGCCTCTCAGATAGACATGACAGGAAAGACCAATTTCCATCACCAAAGCACAGCTATGAAAAAATCTCAATTCAAATTAATTCAACTGTAGAGAGCTGATGTCTATGACAAAACTAATTGGAAGGATGTGTCCGTGCTGGTGGAAATGAAAGTAGCCGGCTGGAGCTGAGCTTGGCTTCCAAAAGCACCACACAGTTTCTGGAGTTTCCAGCAGAAAAGTCTTCTCTTCCAACTATGGTTTCCATGGCAATGCAGTCAGTCTGGAAAGGAAGGAAAAAAAAAAAAAAAAAAAGGTGATATTTTAAATGCAAGTTACATGGGAAATAAACGTTTGCTAGTGAGGAGAATGCATGGAGCTCATTCATGGCAGAAGGGACAGCGCTGCATGCAGGCAGCTCCCTGGCAGGGCTGTGCACCCCCGGTGTAACTACAAACAGTCCTATATACAACAGGCAGAGAACTGCAATATAAACACTGCAAGTCACAACAACTGTGTGCCCTGGCCTCAACTTTTCAGGAAAAAGCATAATTTAGTTGTAACAACAAATACCTCCGAGTGTAGTTTTCCTTTTTGTCTCTCTGAAAGGCAACCCACCGTACAGAAGTGCACATCTGCAGCAACCAATCTCCAGAACCATCTTTACTGCTGTCAGCTAAAACCAGTGGCCTCAAAGTGACCGGAAAAAGCAAAATACAAAGTGCTCAGTAAGAGGAGAGGAGAAAACCCTCGAGTACAGCAGGAAGGAATTTCTGGGTGACAGGACAGAGGTGGGACGGCAGGGAAGATGGCCCCAAAGAACAACACCAGCTCTGCGATTACACACGTGTGTGTCAAGGTAAGAGTGACTCCACAGGCTCCTGGGATGGGAACACCCAAAGGGGGGAGGCAAATACCTGGTGGTGAGAGCACAACTGGAACATACCGAGAGCCACGTCTCAGCTCACTGCAAACCCTTCCCACTCCCAGCACAGCTGCATGAACACTCATTTTCACTCTGGAGTGCCACTGTCAGCCAACCCACAGTATCACAGTCCTGACAGATTGTCCCCTTCCATCACTTCTGTTATTTTTACCCTTTGCTTATCTAAGCACAACACTTCCCTGAGCTGTACATCCTTCTGGACCGCTTATATCTCCAGCACTGCCCTTCCCATTGTGCATTTATGCTCACAAAGCACGTGGGCTGCATCTACTAAGAAGTCTCCACTCTTCCAGCAGCTGTGCCCGCACCATTCCCCCCCTGGCAGAGATGGCATCTGCAGATGTCCTCCTTCCCTTCTTCAGCACGGCCCCCAGCCACTCAGGGCACTGGGTGACTCTTCCCTCGCATTGCCCATCTGCAGGACCGGCCCCTGCTGCCACACAGGGAGGGAGTAAACAGGTTTGCTACCAGAGCACAAATGGCAGCTAGGGTAAAGAAGAAAGTCTTCAGGAAACATCAAACATAGGAGCAGTCTCACTTCCCCTCTCCAAACCACGCTGCACAAGCTCTCACTGCTCAGGGAGAGCTTCCTGCCATCTGGGAGAGCGGTCCTACAAAGGGCATCTCAGCCTGCAGCAGCAGAGGGGCCCCGGCCCCAACAGGAGCTGTGCTTTCCGTGGGGCCACAAGGACGGCAGTTGGGTCTCAGCGTTTTGCTACAGAAAGTTCAGCACCAAATTAACTCTGCCCCAGGAATATGCTGAAGAACATGACGGCGAGAGCACAAGCAAATGTTATGTATACTAATGTAAACCTGTATGTTTACTTGCATATCCCATCCCATGAAGCACGCACACGTTAAACACACCGACTCCACCCTAAGCTACAGGAGCTCAGATTTCACAGCCCTGCAGAGAACACCGCCTCTTCAAAAGGCAGCAGCCAGCAGTGCAGGGCTGCCCCAGGCGCTGCCTCTGCCGGAACAGCGGGGCACAGAGGGGCTGAGCTGCTGGGTCGGACACCAGGGCTGGGCACCGCTCCCCAAAGACGCAGCAACTCGTTTTCTGTAATCTGAGGAAAACACAGCCAGAAAAAAAAAATACACCCATTTCTCTTATTTCACAGACATCCTAAGATCGCTACTAAGGGCCATTCCTCGGCACACACAAGCAGTGTGTTACTGCAGCTTTGTTTTCACAAAGGCCGAGTGAAGCTGTTATTTCTGAAATGCTCTTC